AGATTGTTGAAAACATTTTTGATATTTCGATATAACAAATTAAGTTAAATGAATTTTAAGATTTCACAAATGATTTTACAAATTCGATTCAATTAACCGAATATCAAATTATTACTCCAAGTTTTTCAAGATCAATTTTAATTCTTACTAAATGTGTAAAATTGTGATTTGTACTTAAACTATTTTTGAAACAATTTTCACAAAGTATTTTGAACCAAAAATAAGCCTTAAATCAATTATTCAAAGGCATGCACCGATGCATCAGTCTATGCATCGATGCATCGATGAATTAATTGAACATCGAATGCATTCCATGCACCGATGCACTCTCCATGCATCGATGCACTCTGAATATTTTCAAAACATCGAATGCATTTGATGCATCGATGCATCAGGCTATTTTTCAAACATCGAATGCATTTCATGCATCGATGCACACTTGGTGCACCGATGCATCAAGTGTTCCAACGGTCAAAATATTTGAATTTTACACGAATGCACCGATGCATACTTGATCATGCATCGATGCATGAGACGCTCCACCTAGAAAAATTAATTGTTTTCACACTTAAACGGCTCTATTATCCCCACTAATTATCACCAACGTTCAGAATTGATTCAAGGGGTATTTAAACAAGTTCTGGAGCCATTGATCAATAACAAGAAACATCAATCAACTAGAATCAAGAGAGAATCAAAGAGAAAGCATCAAACCTCAAGTTTGAGTATTTCAAGCCTATTTTTCATCTAATATTCATTTGATTTCAAGAACACTTTTGTACTCAATTGTATTTATCCTTGAGTGTTCTTTTCTTTGTTTTAGAATTGTGCAAACATCTTACCTTGTGAGGTTTTTTTGTAAGTTTGCAAATTTGTAATCTTCTCTTTGGGAAAAAGAGTGTTCTCAAGAGTTGGGGTATACTCTTGAGGGATTTTGTAAGGTTATCTCTTTGGCCTCAAAAGAAAGAACAAATTAGTGAATTTGTTGGAAAATCCTTAGTGTGGATAGCTAAGGTAGTAGACGTAGACTTTGTTTGAGAAAGTCGAACCACTGTAAATCGCTGTGCAATTACTTTAAATTTTCTGCAAAAGCTTCCACGAAATTTTTTAATTGCCAATTCACCCCCCCTCTTGGCCGATTCCGTAGATCGATTAACTCAACATACCTTATGTTCATGTGCTTTCCTCCATTCTTTGTATTCTTTACTATCATTCCTTGCTGTGTGATGTAAGGTTCCTTTTCAGCATCACTCATTGAATTCCATTTGGACCTCACATCTTTTGTCACCTAATATAAAACATAAACGTTTCTTAATCAATACATTAACACTAAATACTACTCAATGTCAATTTCATTTTACATACCGAACCGCTCTGTGTGCCATCTTCCTTCATCCCCTTTTGCATTCGGCCATACTGTCAACATTTAAAATTTGTAATCAATTTAAAGTTTATCGATACTTTAATCCAATTACCATTTCAACAATAATAACAAAAAGACATTGATACTTACTAGAAGTACATATATCCACCCTTGGGTTGCTTTCGAGTCTCGGCCTCAATTTCAAAGTCATCTGCTCCACCAACAATTTTCCAACCCATTGACTCCATTTTTCCTTCATATATCAGTTTACGCAAATCAAATTATTTTGTTACATACACTTTATTCAATATACAAATATAGATAACTACTCTTGTGGTAAAACGGTTTTCTTCAAAAGAATTTGAATGGCCACACCAAAATGTGTCGGCACATTTATACAACCTTAATATCATTTTCTACCTATAATATTTAATAAAAGTATCGACATTTATATTTTTCCTTGAATATCACTTTCTACCTGCAATCGTTCCCAAATGCAATCGTTCCCAAATGCTTCTTTACTCCAAAACCCCAAACAACACATAAAAACCCTATCGCGATTACTGTAATAATAAAAAATTAGGGTTTCGACAACATACTTTTCGATTCGACTGCAGCAACAAACAAACAAACTTCGCTTTAGAAACGCCTTCTGAAATGCAGCAACAATTACGCTTCGATTTCAAAAACTCGTCCGTTCTATCTATTTTCAAAGGAGATTTAGCTTATATTTTGATCGGATATGTTATTTATATTTAATCGATACAAATACAAAAGTGTCGATACTTTTATGTCAGGTGTCGATACTTTCGAAAGGATAATTACCTATTTCTTTGAAAGTGTCGATAATTTATTACACGTACTTACGAAAGTATCGACACTTTCAATATATCCGGTATAATTTTACCGGTTTTATCATTTTGATATCGGTTTTATCATATTTTTACCTGTTATATCGTTGTGGATCGATATATTTTTTTTAAAGTATCGACACATTATAGGCGCTAAAACTGCTTCTCTTTTAAATTCACAAAGTGTCGATCCTTATATAAAGTATCGACACTTTCAATATATCTGGTAACGTTTTACCGGTTTTATCATTTTGTAACCGGTTTTATCATATTTTTACCTGGTATATCGTTTTGGATCGATACATTTTTTAAATCGACACTTTATAGGATTTAAAACTGCTTCTCTTTTAAATTCACGAAGTGTCGATCCTTATATTAAAGTACCGACACTTTAAATGTATCCGGTAGCGCTTTACCGGTTTTATCATTTCTATACCGGTTTTGTCATAGTTTTACCTGTTATATCGTTTTGGATCGACACATTTTTTATTTGGATCGACACGAACCGGTAGCACAATTTTTTAATATTTCTTCATGACTTAGACCTACTTTTATACGTATGGACACTTTTATAAAAATGATATATACTTTTTCTAAAGTTATGTAATTTATGTTTCAATTTTTTTTAATAGTGTTTCATGTTTTCCACCTACAATATTAATTTAATAATTTCATTTACACAAAAAATTATTTGATTTTTTGATATTTTATAAAATATTATTTAGAATTTAAATTTAACAATATTAACCAAATATAATAATAAATATGTTTTCCACAGTGAAATAAGTATGGACACTTTTATAAAAATGATATATTTTTTTTTTAAAGTTATGTAATTTATGTTTCAATTTTTTAATAGTGTTTCATGCTTTCCACCTACAATATTAATTTAATAATTTCATTTACACATAAAATTATTTGATTGTTTTGATATTTTATAAAATATTATTTAGAATTTAAATTTAACAATATTAACCAAAGATAATAATAAATATATTTTCACAGTGAAATAAGTATGGACACTTTTATAAAAAGGATAGATACTTTACAATATAACAGGTAAAAATATGACAAAACCAGATTCATTATGACAAAACCGGTAAAATTTACTTGATATGTTAAAAGTATGGACACTTTTATAAAAAGGATAGATACTTACCGATAACCAAAGTTTACCGGTTACCAAATTTTTTAATAGATTTTCATATTTTCTACCTAAAACATTATTAGTTGTCAACATAATAGGTACCGCTAAACCGAATTTATTAAATACATTTTAATGTATCCGGTACTGCCGTATATTAGTCGTATATTAACCCACCTTTCCTGAGATAATCCCGTTGATGGTTAGTTGAATGGGTTAGGGTTTTTTTGTTTTCGAAAAAAGATTCCTTTAATCGCATGAGGACAATGTTATCTACTTGTGATTTTGGACCAATTACTGCACAATGTCCCTATCCATTTTTATAATCAACCAAAGGATCAGATTCGCATGTTGTTTTCATCTCCGATTACTAGGATGTGATTTTGAGCACTACATCCGATCTTCACTTATGTTGTCGTCTTGGAGTAGGTGGTAGATACTTCTCCATGTGGATCTACACTCATAGATACCCACTAAAATCCTTTTATAGCCCCAACTTTTAAGTTTTCCCTCCTAGGGTTTTAATGTGTATGGATCTATGAGGTAAAAATTTATAAAATTTGTCTTTAGCACAATATTTTAATGATTTTTTAAAAAAAAAAATAGTCATTGATGATGGATAGGCACAAAGTCATGGTTTGTTTAACTGCTGCAGACCCTATGCACGTAAATGAACCGAATGCACACGAATTGAGATATGTTCATGTTCGTTTATTTAACTCTAACCGAACAAATAAACGAACACGAAAATTAACGAACAAATTTTTTTTGTTCATGTTCGTTCATTAAGGAATATAGTTTGTTCATGTTCGTTCATTTAAATGATAAACGAACATAAACGAACACAATAAACGAACATAAACGAACAACACAAACACAAAAAAACAAACTTATTCGAACACAACAATGAATGTAAAAAAAAAGTAAACAACAATAATAACAACTTAAAATTCATTAATATAACCTGCAACTTTAGAGTTAATTTGTTTGAATACGACAAAAACATACATAAATCATAAATAAACTATATGAACATAATAAAGTCTTAAAGTTAATTTGTTCAACAAAACAATCCTCTTGAAATCCAAACAACTTCAATAATCGTCGTAACATATTCAACTTGCCCTCTTTTCGAACATAAATGAACGAACATAAACGAACATATAATCGAACGTTCCCGAACGTAAATGAACGAACGAGCCCTTTGTTCGTGTTCATTTATTTAATTAAACGAACGCAAAATCTTGTTCATGTTCATCCATTTAATAAATAAACGAACATAAACGAACTTCCCGCCGCACGGTTCGTTGAACGGTCAGTTCATTTACAGTCCTAGCAAACCCTGATTTTTCCAGAGCACACGCCATCATCTTCGTCCTCATTACTAATTTCTTCACCTGCAACCCTTTGGTTTCATCCTATATTGTCCCTTGGCAATATGGTTACAAGCTTAGGCCCAAAGTAATCACTAATAATGTTGGAGACCTGATGCACATTCTTGTTTGTGATCAACAGGTACAATATCACACCCTATATCTTGAGTCGTCGTCGTGGAGGATCCACACTTATATTTGGGTAAAGAAACATTATCCTTCTCTGAAACGGTAATTTCTTCCAACCAGAGACATTGTTACTGGTGATATCACTGTAATCAGATTCATTTTTTATTAGAATTATGTTTTCTATAGCATTTGTTTACAATACTGGGGTACATAAGAGGAGATCACTTTCTTATATGGTAAGTTAGTTGAAATTTACACTGATCAACTTGAAGGGTATGTAGTTCTTGAACATGAGTACTAGGTATATACGCTACATAAATACACATCTACTAAAAGGGGAAAGATTCTGTATCTTTGTCACAGCAGGGTTATGCACTTGTCATCATCTTCATCTCCAAACTTTGATTTGCAGCCTCAAAAGGCTTTGATAATTGTTACACATGAAGCTATCTTCAATGGAAGGCTCATATAAAGCTTTCTACATTCTCCCCTCTTCTTTCTTGAACCTCCTCTTCTGTTTCCCGTTTCCCCCTGCATGAGCTCCCATGTGTATGTTTATGTTTGCAATGTGTTTCTAATTAGCAGTAAGTTGGTGTATAGTCCCGGGCTGCGTACTAATCGAAAGCATTCTCATTTCCGTTCGTCTTGTTGATCGACAATGTGAAATATATTAGCAAAATCGTTCCTATGCTGGATCTGTTTAAGGGGGAAAACAGCTTTCATTTCGATAAATCAAAGTCGTTAAAATGTTTATGCAATTGCAGATGAAATAGGATATAGTCCACGATGGGCTTTGGAAGCTTACAAAGTGGCAAAGAGAAAGAGAATCCTCTTGGGATAGAGTAGCCACTGGGATGAACACCTTCGGGAATTGTTCCTCTGTAGACTGAATCTGCTATCGGTTGCAGTGGCGATATTGCCTGTTGAAATTGTGATCTGATGATGAACTTGCACTTTGCTGGTCTGATTGGTTGATGCTACAGCGCCCGTCACAGGCTTTTCGGCCGTGCTAGACCGTGCCACAGAAGTTGCAGTTCAATAACTCCAACCCCAAATCTCACAAAATAAACTATTCAAACGGGCAATTTACCGGAAAAAAATGCTAGAAAACATGAGAACATGCATCCTAGAGAAACAGCATCAAGAAAATAGGACATATTTGCTATAGGTAGCTCGGACTCTTTATTTCATTTCGAGTATACGTTTTCGATACAAATTCAAAAATGAGCATACGACGGCAAGGACCTTTAAAAACTACCTGTATCTTGTAAACACTCTACTCCAAGTAACCTAGCTAAATACTACTAAAGAACTGTTCTACATTTAACCAGTTAAATTTATGTCCTCCAAGGAGTTTAACTATAAAGTGCAGAAAGGTGCATGGTCTGAAGCACTAAACTGGGTAAAAACACAGCCAAAACTTTCCATTTTTAAAAATTTCCGGGAAAATTTTCCTGATAAAAGCTCAAAAAACACCAAATGGTAAACTTTGACTACAGAAATGGAAGAAAAAAAATCTAAGCAATTAATGCTAAAAGTTTATACCTCTTGGGGAGGTGGCGACAAAAGCATCTTTATCACTGAGGAGTTACAATTTGAAGTTATAATAATCTTCTTGTCCCCTCCTCTCTGAGACCCTTTCCGAGATAGACTTTTCTGCAAATTGGACTTGCATGAAACAGTATAATTGAGCTGTAAACACGTGTCATTCAAAAAAAAATATTTTGAAGTTTTCGCAGAAAAAGAAAAACAAAAAACTTACCGTAAGTCTTGAATTTTGATTGATTTCTTTATTGGATCCTCCATGAGAGAAACCTTCCATGTCGATGACAAAGCCATCGGATTTATTATCGGCTGTGTGTTGGAACCCGTTGATATGATGCGAAACTGATATCTTTTGTGTGGGTATGTCGTTGGAAGATGTTAAATCCTAATAACCAAATCAAGGAATTGTATTGGAAATAAAAGGAGAAAAGTAAAATAGCAGAGAGTTTTTACTTACCAGCTTTGGATTTTCCTCCAGGTTCAACATTTTCTTAGGAAAATGAAGCAAAAGGGAAAAAAATTATTGAAGGGGTGGAATCCGGATTGTACAGAGAGTCAAACAATAACGTATTCAGAGGGGCACTCCAGAAATCTTCATGATTTTTCTTACAGCACGAATGAACTATTCTTAAAATCAAAGAAAGTCTCGTGATTTACAAAGAAACAAGATTCTGGAAAACGAAAGCAAACGAACAAAGGCTGAAGCTTTGACTGACAAATGAGCCGACTTTTTCTTTCAAGAGGGATTGAAAACACCATTAAAGGCAGAAAAAATGATATGGGAATCTGATGATGAAGAAGAGAATATAATAAACACATGAAAATCGAGAAATAGGATTTGAAAACTGCAGGCGTTTCGTTGTTTATATATGATGAGTTGGTATTGCACTCGTTGAGAAAATTTACCAAATTATCGCTAAGAATAGAAAATGGTATTTGTACTTGGGGGAATGCCATGGCTATGGATTTGTTAATACGAATTTAATACATAAATTATTAATTTTAGTATGTTTTAGTATTTAAATTTTTAATTTCTTTAAAATCATATCTAATGTTTGTTTTTATTTCATTTTAGTATTTGTCATTAAAAATTTAATGTGTTTAGTATCTAATCTATCAGTTTTGATATGTTTTAGTACCTAAACTTTTAATTTTTTTCTAAAACTTAATGTTAAATTTTAAAGTGTTAATACCAAAATAAGTGCCCAAACTATATCTCTTTTCCAAATAGGTGCCTAAACTATTTTTTGATTCATCTCGATGCCTAATGTTACCCATTTAGATGCCCGAGCAGTTAACAGTGTTAATTTCTCTGTTAAGTTACACTTGTCATAACTTGGTAATATTAAAATTTTATTTAAAAATTAAAATTATATATACATTTTTAAAAAGAAAACACAAATTTTAAAATAAATCTTCATTTCAAACCTTAAATCCACGCCACTGCTATCTTTTAGCGACAACAAAGCTCCAACTGGCCTCCCCTCCTTCCGACCAAAATCCCCATGAAATTGTGACATGACGAATCAACGTTTTATACCCTACGAACCTTAGGATGAAAATCGCGATTCCGACGACCAATCAAAGAAAACTACAACGACGTATAAGTAGGTGGATAGTAGGAACTATGTCAGGGCCGAAAAGGGCGGAGGTGGCGGATTAAGGTTAAGATTTGGGTTTTTGGGTTGTTTATAATATAAAAAAATAGTTTTTTTATAAATATCATAATATTTGTGTAATATTTTTAAAAAAAAATTAAAATATCAGATTGTGACACGTGTAACTTAATAGGAGAAATTAATGTCGTCGATGCTCGGATAGCTAAATGGGTAACGTTTGTAACGTAAGGCACTTGGATGAGTCAAAAAATAATATAGACACCTATTTGGGAAAAATAGTATAGTTTGGGCGCTTATTTTGGTATTAAGCAAAATTTTGAATGAGATGCTAAAATGAAATAAAAACTAATTTTTTAGCACGAGTACCAAAATAAAACAATTTAAAAATTAAAAGTTTAGGTATTAAAATGAATTTAAATATTAAACTTATAATTTACCCTTTTTTTTACAGAATTTATGTTATTGAAATTAAAATGTCATATATTTATTAGTTTAAAGGGGAAAAAGGTACTTTATCAGTCATATCTTTTTTAAAACAATAATAGATATATTTTTATCCTACATAATACTCTTAGTTGATAATAACAAATTTATTGATTGAAAAGGTAGCAATGCGAAAAAAGTAATGTATATGCAAACGACTTCGTTTTTACATCCATTGTACCAAAAAAATAATAATTATCATTATTATTAAAAAAATGACATATGAAATTGAAATTGATTTGCGTATAAATCATCAATTTTACGATTTTTTTTTTCATTTTTATTGTATACACATTGAATCAGCCTTATCTCATGGTTAAATCACCTTCTAGAAGTTTATGGAACTTGTAAAAAAAAGCCTTTACCTAACCAAATAAAACAAGTAATAAATTTCAACAATATTAGGTTCAAAATTAATGATTATATAAAAATATCTAATAAAAATATACATTTTTAATCATATAAAAATTAATCAATAATCGACGTGACAGTCAGATTTATTAGTTTGAGAGGGCATCTCCACCGTGAAAGATTTGAACAACATAAGCAAGAGTGGTGATGATTTATGACAATGATGCCACACTAAACATATACCCAGTTGTTGACTTGTTGCTGCCTCACAATAACCATAAACTTTATCTGTGGATCATACACCAACTGATTGAAAATTAATTTTAATTTAATGATTATTTAAATTATTGATTCTAATTGTACATTAGATAATATTGCAATTTCATTTTGTGTATCGTACAAGTTGATTTTTTGGTTTAATGTCTAAATAAGTGCCTAAATTATGTCTTTGTGTCAATTAAGTGCCTACATATTTTTGGCACATCGGGTGCCTAACATTACAAACGTTAGCACTTTAGGTGTCTGGGCTGTCAACGGTGTTAGTTTTTCGGTTAAGTGACATATGTCACAACATGGTAATTTTGAAATTTATTTTCTAAAAAAATATTAAAAATATTATTATATCTATAAAAAAAATACCTTGACTTTTCTGATATTATAAAACATCATCAAAATCTCAAATCCTAACCTTAATTCACGTTGTCGCCCTCTCCAGTCACAACCGTTGCCTCCGACGTGGTCCTTGCCATCATCCTAGTTATATGTCGTCGTAGTTGTTGCCGATTCACCATCGAAATCGCGTGGGATCACGATTTTTATCTTAGGGTTCGTGGGATTTAAAACGTTGATTTGTCGTGATCAGTCGTCAACCGATCACGATTTCATAGGGGTTTTGGTGGCCAGGGGGAGGGGAGGTCAGGTGGAGCTTTTTCGACGACAAAAGGTGGAGGTCGGCATGGGTTTAGGGGTTGAAATGAAGGTTTTCAAAGTTTAGGTGTTGTTTTCAAAATTTATGTATTTTCTTTTTAAAAAATATATAATTTTATTTTTTTATTTATAATTTTTTAAAAATTACCAGATTGTGACATGTGTCACTTAACGGAAAAAACTAACGCCGTTGACAGCCTGGGCACCTAAAGTGCTAACATTTGTAACGTTAGGCACCCGGATGACAAAAAAAAAAGTGTAGGCACTTATTTGATACAAAAAACAGTTTGAAAACTTATTTGGGCATTAAACTATTTTTCATTAATTTAGGGTAAATATAATAATAACTGATTTGAATACAAGACTTCAAGAAATAACAATAATTCTATCGAAAATATTGATTCGTGATTGTTGAGGTTGATTCTGATTATCGTTGTAGGCACCGAGAAGAGAAAAGAAAAAAAAGATGGGAATCTTGCTTGTATAATTAAATGGGAGAATGAAAATGGTGACTTTTGTGCCACTTACCATGGTGATGCTGATCTTTCCTACGGAATTTCCTTCAATGCACGTGGGATCATTTGAATTAATCAGTACTTTTAGGATTTAAATATAATTTTGAACAAAAACAAATTGATTTTATATACGATCATTAAATAATAATACTGAAATTGAGAGTATTGAAACCATGTGGAGGGCAATGTTTTGTTATGTAACAAAATATTTACAAGTAATTATTATATTATTTGATTATTGAGGGTAGCTATATATATAAGTCAGCATGGTGATTGGTGATTAATTAATTAGGAGTTGGCTTGTCCTTGCATTTCATTTAACCATTGCAGCTTATCAATATTATTATTATTATTTATTACTTATTTAGTACAGTTAACCTGTTTCTAAAGTTGACGGTTTGGTTTTAATTCACAAGTTTTTTTTTTTTTTTAAGAAACACAGCGATATATATTAACCATAAACAGCATCCACGGTTACAAAAGGAGCAATACAGTTAGGAAAATCATATTGAAACTCTAAGCAAGCAGCAGATGGAGCCCGAGTAGCAAGATGGTGAGCCACAAGATTTGCAGTTCTCCTAATATAGGTCACTCGGATATGAGGAGCATTATCTAATAAACGTTTTGCCTCCGAAAGTTGATTTACAGAAAGATCCAGCGAGCGATGGACGAGCTGTCGGACAATATTACGCGCATCACTCTCGACAACAACTTGAGGTCAGCTAAGAGCAATGGCAAGACGAATGCCTTCCATTAATGCATCAGCCTCTGTAATGGCAGGCTCCCAATGTAGTGAGAAGATTCGATTACAGCCAGCGCGCGATAACCATTCCCTCATGATCACGGAAGATAATACCACACGAAGAATGTGAAAATGATTTTGCACCATCAACATTTATCTTGAAAGATCCAGCAGGAGGCTTATCCCAGGTAGCAAGTTGTTGACTCTCCATTGTAGGAAAATATCTGCCCACATGTTGGTGACAATTTCTTCTCATGAAGAAAAACATTGCGTCTGTACTGTACCATAAAGAATACAACAAAACAAGTAAGCCAACCGAGACACAAAGAGGGAGTTCATCATTGTTTCCAACCATGCATGAGAAGAAGGAGTAGGCAACCGTAACAGGAACGGTAGAAATCCCGCAGAACATAAAGCAGAAAAGGCATCTGGGCAGTCGCGAACTGCATGTAACACTGTTTTATCAAGTGATCCACAGATAGGGCATCGTCCGTCCCCAAACCCAGAAGTTAGAAGTCGGCGACTAACCGGCAACACCTCTTGGGCTAAATGCCAAGCAAATATCTTAACTTTAGGTAATGTTTGAGCCCTGGAAAGGTATAGCCACAACTTTGAGACAGGTGCATCCAAATGAGATCGATGAGCGCATTAACCATGCGAGCCCGAGCACGTTGAATAAATTCCGGAAGAGTGACCTCCCCAAATTAAGATATCCGAGTAAGTTGGTGCAATCGGACATTGTAGCACTTGTTCAGCATCTATCGGTTGAAACACTTGGCTCACAAGGGGCTCCTTCCAACTAGGATCATCAGGGTGCATGAATTCCCCACATCGAACAGGATTTGCTGGGTTATCAGCATAGTGGGAGTTAAAAACATAGGAGTGGAGCTCCCCATCGACTTCGATGCATGGATATGGAACTATTAATCCCAATCCTCCAATGAAATCCATCTCTCAATTTTGTCATGGCAGTAAATATGCTACGGAATGCATAGGAAGGCCGAGAACCCAGCCTAGCAGCAAAGATATCTTGTGATGGAAAATATTTGGCCGATATAACTCTATTAACCAGACTAGATGGATTATGAATCAATATTTAGTCGAAAACTACCGAAAGACAGAGATAAACGTGTCATAAAAACATAATTATTTTTATTAAAAAAATTAAAAAAATAAACAAAGAAAAAAGGCAACCGACGATCAGCAACCAATATCAAAATTGGTGTTGTCGCAGATTAAACAAAATTAAAGAAAAAGAAATCGATTGGATATATAAAATATGACACAAATTATAATAAAAAAAGAGGAGATAGAGTATAATATGATTATTGTTATAATATTTAAAAAGATAAAATATTTTTTGATATAAAACTTATTGGATCTAAATAATTTAAATATGATGTTGAAAAAAACACACATGCAATTGTGAATATCCACGGCTTCTTGATGTGTTTCTTATCCCATGACTCTAACGTCGAAAATCGCACAATGCAAATAAAAACATGGTAGCCCAAACCGGCTATTATCGGTCGGAATAAGTCATACGAACATTTCGCTTTTGTTAATGGCCCATTTTCACGTTCTTCTATATCATTTAATACATAATCTATTCATTAAACAATGCTCATATATTCCTTTCTTTCACCATGCCAAAAGACTCCAAATTCCTTGACGTCCCCTTCCCTTTTAGATCACGTAATCATACCTACATAAACACCCTTTTGTTTCATCATGAAGAAACCAACCCTGAAGTTCTTCTCGATAAGCCGAAAAAAACAATGTCCGGTGGCTGTTCCGACAGGTTTCCGATCCGGTACACCCTACAGGACTACCCGGCTCAGTCGAACCCTTAATCCCAAGTTCCCAACCCCAACAACCGCTCAAACTCCACCACACAGCCCGCTACTACGCGCATCGGGTTCGTGAAAGCTTCACCAACATAGTCATCAAAATACTGTGTACCATATTCTTGTCTGTCATTTTATTCGTTGTTCATTTTGTGGCTTAGTTTATGCCCTCATCGCCCGAGGTTTCACATCGTGGATTTCACGGTTCCTGGTTTGGCTCAGCCTTCGGGGTTCGAGAACGCTTTATTTCATATATATATATATATATATATGTGAGCAAAGCAAGCATATAACATAAGAGAGAGAGAAAGTGAGGAAAAGAGAATAACGAGTGAGAGAAAGAAAAAATAGAGAGAACTTAGTATAACTTAAAATAATGAGGTTGAGTTTGTAAACTAGTCGCAGCTAGTATTGCAGTATTGTAATATTGAGAGTGTCATTGTAAAGTATTTTGTTTCATATCAATAAAAAAGTTCGAGTTATAAATTACCGAGAGCCCATCTACGCTTCCAACAAGTGGCCTCAGAGCTTGGTTCGAGTTCAACGTGGTGGAGAAGATGGCCAACATGATTCAACCACAAATCCCGAGATTGACAAAGACGATTGGAGCATTCAAATGAAGGCATTACTAGGCTCCCAGGATTATTGGGATATCATCGAGGATGGTTACACCGAGCCTGAAAATGCAGCAGCAGAAGCAGCCCTGGCCAATGAAGAAAAGAAGGTATTGAAGGAATCCCGGGAAAAAAGATAAAAGAGCGTTGTTCTTTATTTTTCAAGGAGTAGACGAATCTATCTTTGAAAAAATTTCTGATGCGAAGACCGCGAAACAAGCATGGGAGATTTTGCAAAAATCTCTACAAGGTGCCGAAAAAGCAAAAAAAGGTACGCTTACAAACTCTCCGAGCTGAGTTTGAGATATTAAAAATGAAAAATACAAAAACCATTGATGATTATATTAGCCGTGTGAAAGCGGTCGTAAATGAAATGAAAAGAAATGGCGAATCACTCGACGATGTTAGAGTGATGGAAAAAATTTTACGGTTATTGACAAGAAAATTTGATTACGTGGTGGTGGCAATCGAAGAATCGAAAGATTTATCCCAAATTTCGATTGATGAGCTTGTGGGTTCACTTCAAGCCCATGAGCAGAAAATAAAACAAAATGAAGATTCAGAAAACCTGGAGCAAGCTCTACAAAGCAAGATGAATGTCAACGAAGGAGAAGCTAGTAGCAGCTACACACGAGGTCGACGAAATCGTGGTGGTTATCGTGGAAGATACAGATGAGGACGAGGAACTCGTGGACGTGGTGGTCGATCATATAGCACCGTTCAAATAAGTGAAAGTAATCCAACATTAGGCTGTGGACGAGGATTCAGAGGCCGAGATAGGGGCATATATCAACAAGGAATTAAATTTCAGGTACAATGTTATAATTGCAATAAGTATGGTCATTATAGTTATGATTGTAGATCTGCTCCTAAATAAGAAGAAAAAATAAGGTAGCAGCAGCTCAAGAAGAAAAAATTGAAAAATCTCATGTATTCCTCACTTATAAAGGAAATGAGGAATTCAAGAAAAATATTTGGTATCTTGATAATTGTGCCAACAACCATATGTGTGGTCAAAGGGAACTGTTTGTGAAATTAGATGAAACAGTTCATGGGCGAGTAACGTTCCGAGATGACTCGCACGCAGAAATAAAAGGAAAATGCGAAGTTATGATTACTCAGAGAAATGGAGAAAAGAAATACATTTCAGATGTTTATTATGTACCTGCTTTGAAAAGCAATACCATCAGTCTTGGTCAACTCCTGGAAAAATGATACGAAGTGCAGATGAAGAATCGCTCGCTTGCCATCAAAAACAAAGAAGGAGAATTGATAGCCCAAGCTGATATGACTCGAAATCGTCTCTTTACAATTGATATCGAGTCGGGAGAAGTCAAGTGCATGAAGACAGTGATCAAAGATGATTTATGGATGTGGCATCTAAGATATGGACATCTTGGATTTTCTGGTTTGAAGCTGTTATAAAAAACAAGCATGGTGAAAGGACTACCAGAGATCAACCCTCTAAATCAATTATGTGAGGCTTGCATCAAAGGAAAACAACATAAACAAAGCTTTGAAGTTGGTAGATCCTGGCGTGCCCGAAGACCGCTGGAGATAGTACACACAGATATAGCCGGTCCTTTTGACATACAATCGCTTGGCGGTAACATGTACTACCTAACTTTTATTGATGATTTTAGTAGGAAATGTTGGATTTACATCTTGAAAGAAAAGTCAGAAGCGCTGGAAAAATTGAAAGAATTCAAAGCAATGGCGGAAAAACAAAGCGGACAATATTTGAAGATACTCAGATCAGATAGAGGAGGCGAATATACATCAAAGTTATTTGAAGAATTCTGCAAAGAGCATGGCATCATCCATCAGCTGACAACCAGATACACACCACAACAAAATGGAGTTGCAGAAAGAAAGAATCGCACAATCCTGGACATGGCAAGAAGCATGATAAAAGGCAAGCAACTACCGAGAAATTTCTGGGCTGAAGTAGTTCGATGTGCAGTTTACCTATTGAACAGATGTCTAAAAAAAAGCGTGAAGTATATGACGCCAAACGAAGCATGGAGTGGTCAGAAACCAGGAGTTGGACACCTCAAGATTTTTGGATGCATCGCATATGCCCACGTTCCTGAACAGACCAGAAAGAAGCTTGATGACAGAGGAGAAAAATGTATTTTCATTGGCTATGATGAAAGAAGCAAAGCTTACAAATTATATAATCCTCTTACCAAGAAGATAATTATTTCAAGAGATGTCGAGTTCGATGAAGCAGACTATTGGAGGTGGAGTAAAGAGGAAAAGAAAATTGAAGGACTATTTTTTTAAAGATGATGATCTTATCAATCAAGATGAACAAGCTGATGATCAAGGTCCTCAACAAAATGTACCATCGTCGTCAAGCAGCAGCAGCGATGCCAGTAACATAATAGAAGATCCTGAAGCACCTCCCACAGAAGTTCGAAGATCCACAAGAGAGAGAAGAATGCCAGAAAGGTACAATAATTATAAACTAAATAATATTTCACTTTTCTGCTTACTTGTGAACAGTGATCCAATAACATACGAAGAAGCGGTTGAAGATGACAAATGGAGGAATGCAATGGATGAAGAAATTGCATCAATAGAAAGAAATGATACATGGGAGCTAACAAGACAACCAGAAGGCCATAACCCAATTGGAGTAAAATGGGTTTACAAGACAAAGACTAATAAAGAAGGAAAGGTCGAGAAGCACAAAGTGAGGCTAGTTGTCAAAGGCTATAAGCAAAGACAATGAATAAACTATGATGAAGTATTTGCTCCAGTAGCAATGATCGAGACCATCAGACTTCTCACAGCAGTTGCAGCACAAAAAGGATGAAAAATTTACCAGATGGATGTGAAGTCAGCATTTCTAAATGGCTACCTAGAAGAAGAAGTTTATATTGAGCAACCACCTGGATACATTAAAAAGGGACATGAAGACAAAGTTTACAGATTGAAGAAAGCTCTATATGGTCTTAAGCAAACCCCGAGAGCATGGAACACGAGAATTGATGAATATTTCCAGAGAAACGGGTTCATGAAGAGTCCATACGAGCATGCCTTATACACAAAGAAAAATGAAGACGGTGATATCATGATCGTGTGCTTATATGTGGACGACATGATTTTCATAGGAAATAATCCAGGTATGTTCAATGATTTTAAGAAAGCTATGACTAAAGAATTTGAAATGACATATATTGGAGAAATGTCATACTTTCTTGGAGTTGAAGTGAAGCAAATGCAAGAAGGAATATTTATATCACAAAAGAAGTATGCAGAAGAAATTTTAAGAAAATTCAGAATGGAAGATTGCAAGCCGGTAGCCACTCCAGCAGAACCAGGAGTCAAATTAAGTGTGAATTCAACAAGAGAGCAAGTGAATCCGACGTTGTTTAAAAGCATCGTTGGAAGTCTAAGGTATCTGACTATCACACGACCAGACATAACATACGCTGTGGGATTGGTAAGCAGATTCATTAAGAATCCGAAACAAGATCATTGGATTGTAGCAAAAAGAATCCTCATATATGTCAAAGGTACAACAGATCATGGCTTAATCTACACGCGATCAGAAAATTCGAAGTTGGTTGGTTATTCTAATAGTGATTATGGGGGAGACTTAGACGATCGGAAAAGCACAACTAGATATCTATTTCATATCGACTCTGCAGCATTTTCATGGTCATCAAAGAAGCAACAAACGGTAGCTCTTTCAACATGTGAAGCAGAATACATAGCCGCAGTAGCGTGCACTTTCCAAGTAATGTGGTTAAAGAATATTTTGAACGAGCTAAATGTGGCACAAGAAGAACCAATTACAATCTATGTCGACAAAAAGTCTACAATTTCTCTTGCCAAGAATCCAGTCTCTCGTAGCCGAAGCAAGCATATTGATACAAAATATCACTTTATATGAGAGCAGGTGAAGAACAAAAATGTGGAGCTAATTTTCTGCAGAACTGAAGATCAAATAGCAGACATTTTCACAAAACCATTGAGAGCAGTTATATTCAACCGACTCAAAGAAAAGCTTGGAATAGAAAATCGAGTTTGAGGGGGAGTGTTAGAAGACAAACTCATTTTGGAATTATGTAGAAGTTTCAACACACTAGTATATGTCGGCAAGATTTTTTAATTTGAAGCAAAACAAGACAAACAATAAAAGTGGCAATAATAGGGAAATTGAGAAGAATCTAGTTCTCAATATGTCGGTTTATTTCATATATATATATATATATATATATATATATGTGAGCAAAGCAAGCATATAACATAAGAGAAAAAAAGTGAGGAAAAGAGAATAACGAGTGAGAGAAAGAAAAAATAGAGAGAATTGAGAGAGCTTAGCAAAGCTTAAAATAGTGAGGTTGAGTTTGTAAACTAGCCTCAGCTAGTATTGCAGTATTGTAATATTGAGAGTGTCATTGTGAAGTATTTTGTTTCGTATCAATAAAAAAGTTCGAGTTATAAATTACCGAGAGCCCATCTACGGTTCCAACATTAATAAGACCATCAAAAGGGTTATTATCAGTTGACGAGCATAGTCAATTGATCCCAATTTACAAGTTAAACTTATAACACTCAAAAGTCTTGCTTAAAGTTATTTTGATGAGCTTGTAAAATGGTTCGGTCTGGTGGAAATTGTGTGAGTCCAAAAGAAAAGACAACGACTTCATTCGTCCAGATTCGATTTAACTCGGGTCTTAAATTTGTTCAGATTTCAGAATTGTTTGGAAAAAAACTGTAAGAAGAAAATGATGCATTATCATCATGCTGTTCTATCTATTTCAGGAACACTTTACTTGTTTCTCTTTCTGTCTTCTTTGTTCCTCGTTGTCTCACAAAACATGTCCGAAATGCAGGGGTCAGTAACATATCTCCATGCAAATTGCTCCAGAAAATTACATTATGCTTATTTGAGCCGGTTCGAGGTTAACCTTGATCGTCTTCTCGTCCAGAAACTTTACGATCTAGGAAGTAGTCATGGTTTCTTTAACGACACGGAAGGGGAAGATCCAGACAAGGTGTATGGCCTTTTCCTCTGCAGAGGTGACGTTCAACTTGATATGTGCCAAAGCTGCATCAGCACAGCTCGCACCGAGTTCCGAAGGCAGTGCAACAACAAAAAGGAAGCCATCATATGGTATAATGAATGCCTTGTGCGCTATTCCTACAGATCTATCTTCTCAGTCATGGAACTGTCACCTTCTTTTCTTATGTTTAGTGCTCCAGATAGCGGAATTCGACGGATTCAGAAAGAATCTGAATGAGACTTTTGACCATCTGACTAGAATGATACCAAATGTTTCTAGGAACATGTATGCAACTAAAGAAACTGAGGTTTCAAGTTACCTAAAGCTGTATGGACTTGTTCAATGCACCCCTGATTTAACAGTTCCAGATTGCCAATCATGTTTACGTACTGCAATTGCTCAAATTCCAAACACTTTTGGTGTAAAAAAAAGTGGGAGTGGGAGAGTTCTTACACCAAGCTGTAATATCAGGTACGAGACATATCCGTTTTATGGAGAACCTCGATACGAATCACCAGAGACCAGTATAAATGAGGGACAAGGAGTTGAACCTGAAGCACCCTTTTCTTCGGAAATCGAAACAAGTGGAACCGACGGTTAGTGTTATCAGATTCTTCGGAATTTAGCTCGCCCTTTTTTGGTTTTATTGGAGTACTTATCGTTTTAGTAAACCTAGGCCAAACGAAATGGATTGCTATGGGAGTAACGGTTTTTGGAGTAAACCTCATCTTTTCTGGAGGTGTCTTCCTTTGGAGGAGGAGATATTTTCAAGGTATGTATATGATTTCTGCTAAATTGAAACAATATTGTTATTTATGGCTACTAATTGTTTTGTATTGAAGAGAACGAGGATGGTAACAGCCAAGATATCAAGCTAATTGAATTAGACGGAGGAGTACGCAACGACTACTCGAATGAAAATCTCCATGTCGAGACAGGGGTGAGATCTCAGGAGTTTCCTTCTATTCAGTTGGGTATTTTACAAGCAGCAACCAGACACTTCTGTGAAGAAAATAAACTCGGAGAAGGTGGATTCGGCCCTGTTTACAAGGTTTGTATGATGATCTTCACTAGTGTTGGGACTTTTTTGTGTGCTAGAGGTTCATTTATATCTTTTGTAGGGTATACTGCCAGATGGTAAAGAAATTGCTGTTAAGAGGCTCTCTAAAAGTTCTGGCCAAGGGCTGATTGAGTTCAAGAATGAAGTCTTGTCGATTGCCAAATTACAACATAGGAATCTCGTGAGACTCCTCGGCTGTTGCTTGGAGCAAAACGAAAAGTTGCTTGTCTATGAATTCATGCCCAACAAAAGCCTTGATGTGTTCCTATTTGGTTTGCTTCTTAAACCACAACAATTGTTCTCTTCTTTCTCAGAATGTTATATTTTGTGAGATCAATCTTTTCAGATTCAACTTCCGGTCTGCTACTGGATTGGCAGAAGCGACTTAGCATAATTAATGGCATTGCTCGAGGCATTCTGTATTTACACGAGGACTCTCGTCTTCGAATTATTCACCGCGATCTTAAAGCTAGCAATGTTTTGTTAGATAATGAGATGAAACCCAAGATATCGGATTTCGGGATGGCAAGAAGTTTTGGTGGAAATCAAAGCACAGACTATACAGACAGAGTGGTCGGAACATAGTAAGTCCATGAACATCATCTCACTAAGCCATGCATATTTTTCTCATCTTTCCAGAATCTAACTCGATTCTATCAGCGGATACATGGCACCGGAGTATGCAATGGAAGGCATTTTCTCTGTGAAATCCGATGTTTTCAGTTTTGGAGTCCTCATGCTGGAGATAATCAGCGGCAAAAGAAACAGTGGGTTTCATCTTTGGGAGCCTGGTGAAAGCCTCTTAACCTTTGTATGTTCTTTTATCCAATACTAGTTCCTTCAAATGATTGATAGTTGTGAGGATGTTCCATTCTAATTTTATGTAACAATGACAGGTATGGAAACTATGGTCTAAAGGTAAAGGAATGGAAGTAATGGATCCGTTGCTTGTTGAGTCGTGCATGGCCACTCGGGTGCTCCGATGCATCCATATTGGGCTGTTGTGCGTGCAAGAAGACCCTGCAGATAGACCAACTATGTCGTCTGTGATTCTCATGTTGGGAAGTGAGACCATATCACTTCCTCGACCAGCATTGCCTGCATTTTCTGTCGGGCGTGTTGTCGCAGAACCCACTTCAAAGGATAGAATATGTTCCATTAATGAAGTCACAATTTCAAATTTGTCACCTCGTTGATTGATTAGCTGCTGTTAGTGTAATTCCTGCAGGCCAGTCGACATTTGCTCGTGAACGCTGAATATTGTTCGATTGTATAAGTCTATGCATCAAAGTCGTGTATGCTTAATTATGTATTGAATTAAGAAATTAAAACAAGGACTAAATTGAATAATTCAATAAAATCTATAGACTAAAGGTGTAATTAATCAATACTCAAATGGGGCAGGCGATTTTCGTTCCCATGTACAGTGTAGGAACTCGACCTGGATTTCTTGAAGATGAGTGTGTGGTCCCTGCGTCTTTTAGGCTACAATGAATGTGAAAGCAGTGTTTATCTCCAACTCCCATCACCCATTCAATGGCCTTTATTACTTGGGTTGACTTGAATGTGACGACAAGCTGAATGACTCGTCAGACACCACTAAACAACCTTAGCTTCACCACTCATCTCTGTTGCCGATCCAAAAGATGTTTATTTCCGGCATCTTCATCTATCTCCTGTTGCTCCCCTGGCTGAGCTCCACCATCCAAGCTCAACAACAAACTTACCTCTTCCATTCCTGTCCCAACACCACAGTTTTCCCACCAAACTCCACTTACGGAGCCAATATCCGCAACCTACTCTCTTCTCTTTCCTCCAACGCCACCGCCGGCCGTCTTTTCCACAACACGACCTCCGGGAGAAACGCCGACGCAGTCCACGGTTTGTTTCTCTGCAGGGGTGACGTTTCGGACACAGGGTGTCGAGATTGTGTGTCCGCAGCCACCAAAGATGTCACTCAACGTTGCCCCGTCGAGAAAACAACGGTGATTTGGTACGATGATTGCCTCGTCCGTTACTCAAACGAGTCAATCTTTTCCACCGTCGCCGGAGCACCCAAGGTTTACTTGATGAACACCGGGAACGTCACGAACCAAGACCGTTTCAACCGGATACTGGCCGACACGATGCGTGACGGAGCGGCCCTGGCTTTGAATGGTACGTTGCGCTTGAAGAACTTCGCGACCAGAGAGGCCAATGTTTCCGGGTTTCAAACACTGTACAGCCTTTTACAGTGTACTCCCGACCTGACAACCTCGGATTGCAACACGTGTTTAAGACAAGCCATCTCGGATTTGCCCGTTTGTTGCGATGGAAAACAAGGGGGAAGAGTGTTGATTCCGAGCTGCAACATTAGATATGAACTGTACCCTTTCTACAATCAATCTGCAGTTTCGATTCGGCCACCTCCGTCAGCGTTGATTCCTCCTTCACGGACAACTCCAGGTTCGGTTATATTGCTCGGACCGTTATTTTTTCTCGAAATATCTGCGTTCTGCGCTCGTGTTCTTATATCTTTATCGCTTGTACAGGAAAAAGCAAAAAGAACACATTGCCAATAATCATTGCCGTTGTTGCTCCGATCACCGTCTCAGTTCTGCTATTTTTCTTGGGCTGTTGTTTATTAAAAAGGAGAGAAAAGAAGAAGAACAAAGCTGTAGAAGAAAACGGTAAAACCGAACTTATTCCGAGCCATAAACGATCTAGTTTCTTTGGGTTTCACCTTGTTCTTCGATATTCTCACCCGAAACACGACATGTTTGTATTTGGTTGAACAGAGGCGTATGATATAAGCACGATTGAGTCGTTGCAGTATGATTTTAGCACTATAGAAGTTGCCACAAACAACTTCTCGGACAACAACAAGCTAGGAGAAGGTGGCTTCGGTGAAGTTTACAAGGTATTGTTTTTGTTTTACAATGGGGAAGCATTGCAGATGCTGAGATTTGAATACCGAAACCGGCGGTATTGCCATTAGGAAGCTTTTCCGATGACCGGTTATTGAACATTCTCAGGGTATTCTTCCTAATGGACAAGAAGTCGCGGTTAAGAGGTTATCGAGAAGCTCGGGGCAAGGGTCCGAGGAGTTCAAAAATGAGGCTGTCTTGGTATCCAAGCTTCAACATAGGAATCTAGTGAGACTACTGGGATTCTGCGTGGAAGGAGATGAAAAGATACTAATATACGAATATATTCCCAACAAGAGCCTGGACTGTTTTCTTTTCGGTAAGAAAATTTTGGATTTTTATAGACTGCCAAGACTTGAACATGCTTAATTCTCTGTTTCTTTAGATCCTGCAAAACGAGGACAGTTGGATTGGTCTATACGGTACAAGATTGTTGGAGGGGTCGCTCGAGGGATTCTTTACCTTCACGAGGATTCTCGGCTGAGAATCATACACCGTGATCTCAAGGCCAGCAACATCTTATTAGACGGTGACATGAACCCGAAGATTTCGGATTTCGGCATGGCAAGGATTTTCGGAGGTGATCAAACTCAAGGAACTACAAAAAGAGTTGTTGGAACCTAGTAAGTTCTGAACATGTACATGTCGTTTTCTTTGCACAAGTTTTTTAACATTGATACCTATTTGTAGCGGCTATATGTCACCGGAATACGCAATGCACGGGCAGTTTTCGGTGAAATCGGATACATACAGTTTCGGCGTTTTAATTCTGGAAATCGTAAGTGGCGAACGGAACAATAATTTTTATCAGAAGGATGGTGCGGACGACCTTATCAGCTACGTAAGTATAATTCGGTCTGCAATTCTTTTTCGGCTATGCTGATTCGATTTTCGATTTATAATTACTCTATGAACAATCGCAGGCTTGGAAACATTGGAAGAATGGGACACCCTTGGAAATTCTTGACCCTGTTTTGAAGGATAACTACTCGAGAAACGAAGTCATGAGATGCATCCAAATCGGGTTATTATGTGTTCAAGAAGATCCGGTTGAAAGGCCAACAATGGCTACCATTGATATGATGCTTAATAGTTACTCTGTCACACTTCCATCTCCTAATCAGCCTGGATTTTTTTTCAACTCAAGAACAGAGGGGAAGATGCTGGAATCTGATCAATCCACTAGTCGATCGATTCCATGGTCGATCAACGAAGTATCCATCACTGAGTTAGACCCTCGATGATGCAATCCTGAAGGCAGATAAATAACCCTATATATGTATCACCTTATGTATGAATGAAGTAAGAAAATAAGAGTTACTTTTGCTCTCTCAAGTAGTAGATGTTTTGCAATCAAATGATTTTCTCATTAATCTTTGTAACATATGCAAGAATCATGCATGAATTGAGCAATTTCAATAGTAAAAGAATTGTTGTTATTTTTTGAGGTTTTGAGTTCGAACACCAAAAATATTAAAATGTGAGCGTACAATGTAAAATTGTCGAGAAAATATGTAAGGATACTCTCTTATCATCTCTTCCTTGTATCTAACTTAAGGCTCCTTACATATGTGGCAGTGGCAATGTATCCAACCCAAACATATTGGGCTGGGCTAATCATACCTTTCGAGCCAAACAAGAAACGACGCCGTTGCCTTCTCTTCCAAAAGTACGTCTTCTCCGTCGTCATTATCAACCCTCGACTTTTCCTAAAATAATTCTTAAAGACTTCATATTTATGCTTCTTCCCTTCTACCCAGATCGAGAATAAATGAAAATCTTTGAAAAAGAAAAGAAAGAAGAGAACAGTAAAGATCGAGGCATATAGGGAAAAAGAAAAGTATTGGTTTTCCTTCGATTTTGATTTTTTTTATTTAAATAAGAAATCACGAAATGTTAGAGAAGATCGGGTTGCCTTCAAAGCCTTCGTTGAGAGGGAGTACTTGGGTTGTTGATGCTTCTCATTGCCAGGGTTGTTCTTCTCAGTTCACCTTCATCAATCGCAAGGTTTTGCTTTTGATTCCTTCATCTTTTCACGGATTCTTACCTTTTCTTCTCTCTAATTCAATTCCCATGTCTCAAATTTTCTTTTTCCCCACCCCTCCAAGTATGGGGATTGCTTCTGATTGCACTTGAAATTTCTGTATTTTAGATTACTCCTGGGATTTCTTTGTGGGTTTAACTTATTGATGCTCCATGATATATAAGATTCAAAGTTGATTCCGATTAGAATCCTACTTATTGAAATCAAGATGGTTGTAATATTTATTCTTTTTGGTAATTATTGTTCTGCTTAAAATTTGTAGTTAGATTACTTCTTGAATTTCTCGAATTCATATGTAATTGGAATGGTTATATTGGAATTTGAAACTCTTTGTTGGATTAACTTATTAATGCTCTGTGATAGAAAAATCAAAATTGTATCTGATTAGAATCCTACTTTTAGATATCAAGATGTATACTCCTTTTTCTCTTTGGTAATAATATCTTAATTATTGATGTTCCGTTTTCAACTCTGGATTGTCAGCATCACTGCCGACGGTGTGGAGGCCTGTTTTGTGGTACATGTACCCAGAAAAGAATGGTTTTGCGTGGACAGGGTGATTCACCTGTGCGTATTTGTGAACCTTGTAAAACACTAGAAGAAGCCGCACGATTTGAGTTGCGCCATGGACACAAAAGTAGAGCTGGGAGAGGTAATAATTTTTTTTAACTATGTATTGCGTTTAGTCGATCATAAGTTTGGTGCTAGAAATCTTTGTTTCAGGTTTACTAAGTTACAAGCATGTTGAATTTGAATTTATAGATATATGCTTTTATGAGGAGCACTCGTTTTTTTTGTTCGTGCATTTCAGTTTTCACTATGAAATCCTTAATGATTGACCTTTGATATTAAATGATTTAGCTGCTATGTGCCAGGTAGTTCGAAACCAACTGCAAAAAATGAGGATGACATTTTGAACCAGATTCTAGGTGTTGACAGAAAGGAATCTTCTTCATCAGGAGATATTTCGAGCAAAGATATGTCTCCTAGTATTACTCGGGCAGCTAGCAGTGCATCGTGTTCCAATGTAGCTGGCAGTGACGATGGGGGAGGAGAAATACGGCGAAGTCAGTCCGTTGATCAGCGTATGCAGAATGATATGGCATCTTCGAGTCCTGAGGAATTACGCCAGCAAGCGTTGGATGAAAAAAGGAAGTATAAAATTCTAAAAGGAGAAGGGAAACCAGAGGAAGCTCTGAGAGCCTTTAAGAGAGGAAAGGAGCTAGAGAGGCAGGCTGAATCTTTGGAGATATATATAAGAAAAAACCGTAAAAAGAGTTTGCCTTCTGGAAACATATCTGAGATCCAAAACAAAGATGCCACTAAAGAATCAGGCAGAAAAAATAGGGCCTCTAGTCAAGTGGGCAAGGATGACCTGGCTGCTGAACTCCGGGAACTTGGTTGGTCTGATATGGATCTACATAATGAGAATAAAGGATCCACAAGTATGAGTTTGGAGGGTGAACTCTCTTCTCTTCTTGGAGAAATGCCAAAGAAGAGTGGCAAACAAGGCCCGGACAAGACCCAGGTTGTTGCCATTAAGAAAAAGGCTCTTATGTTGAAGCGTGAAGGGAAGCTTGCAGAAGCGAAGGAAGAACTGAAGAAAGCTAAAATCTTAGAAAAGCAACTTGAAGAACAAGAACTATTGGCTGGAGCTGATGATTCAGATGATGAGCTATCTGCAATAATCAACAGTATGGACAATGATAAAGAAGATGAAATGCTAATTCAGTATGAGCACACAGACGGTTTTGATTTTGATCACCTTTTGGGAGCTGCTAATGATATAGGCATAGATAGTAATTTTGAAGTAACTGATAATGATATGGAAGATCCTGAAATAGCTGCTGCTTTGAACTCACTTGGTTGGGCAGAGGATTCCAATCCTAGTGAAGATGTTGTGGCTCAGTCTGCACCTGTTAACAGGGAGGCATTGTTAAATGAAATTCTTTCGTTAAAGAGAGAGGCTCTTTCTCAAAAGCGGGCAGGTAATGTTTCAGAGGCAATGGCCCAGTTAAAGAAGGCAAAGTTACTGGAGAAGGACCTTGAAAACTTTGAATCTCAGCCAGAGAATTTGACATTTAATCAAAATGTCCCAGCTCCTCACACTGTTGATATATCAGTGAAGTCAGCCAAGTTGGGTTATGACGAAGTTAATGCTATGGAAGATATGGAAGTAAAACCTGCACGAAAAAGTAGATTGGCGGTTCAGAAAGAGCTTCTGAGTTTGAAGAAGAGAGCCCTTGCTTTGAGAAGGGAAGGACGATTGGATGAGGCAGAGGAGGAATTGAAGAAAGGCAAGATTCTTGAGCAGCAGCTTGAAGACATGGAGAATACTTCCAACACTAAGACTGCACAGGTAACTATTGGCAGTAGCGTGAAGGATTCGAAAGGCGAGCACCCTAGTATGTCAGTAACTCTGCCAGTTGAAGGAGATGATGTTACTGATCAAGACATGCATGATCCGACTTATCTTTCAGTACTAAGGAACTTAGGTTGGAATGAAAATGATGAGCTTTCAACCTCTTTGCCAAAACATTCTACACAAAGTGATTCTGAAAAAGTTATTGAATCTTCTTTTATTCAATCCGCTCCTAAGATCCCAGCTAAGGCATCAAGAATAACTAAAGCTGAAATACAGAGAGAACTATTAGGCCTGAAAAGGAAAGCTCTTTCACTTCGGCGCCAAGGAAATACTGATGAAGCAGAGGAAGTGCTGGAAGCAGCTAAAGCATTAGAGGCTGATTTGGCAGAAATGGAAGCACCAAAGGAAGTGGTTGAGTCGAAGTGGCCAAACGAAAAATCCACTGTAGCTCCCCTTAAAGGTGTTGTGGAAGAAGTTGATGAAAATGTCACTGAGAATGATATGACTGATCCTGCTATGCTCTCAATTCTAAAGAATCTGGGTTGGAAAGATGATGAAATGGAACCGGTAACGATGCAAGAAAAGCACTCTAAACATCTTGCCACTGAGTCTTTACATTCTAGCAGTCCATCTGTCACGCAACCCTCTTTTCACATTTCGGCTTCACCACCAAGAAGTAAAAGGGAAATTGAAAGAGAACTTCTAGATTTGAAAAGAAGGGCTCTTGCCCTTAGACGAAAAGGGCAAGCTGAAGAGGCTGAGGACTTGTTGCAAAAGGCAAAGGTATTGGAAGCAGAAATTGCAGAATTGGAACCTCCTAAAGGAGAGTTTGTGCTTGATGTGTCCAGAGACAGTAAACCTCAGAACTTTGAATCACTTGCCAACAATGAGAGGCAAGGGATTTTGAAAGATGAGGTGAAAGGTGATTTTGGATCCAACTTCTCTTCTCTTGCTAAAACCGATGCTCCATCATCTTCCCAAAATCTTAGAACAAAGGATGAAGATACCGTTGGAAAAAGTAGACCAGTAAATGGAGAGCCTGTGGCGCATATGCTTGATGTGAGTTTGAGTCAGGAGGCATTTACTTCCCAGAACAACCAAGATTCACTTAGGCAAGCAGTTTTATCTCATAAGAAGAAGGCACTTGCTTTGAAGAGAGATGGAAAATTGGCAGAAGCTCGAGAAGAACTTCAGCAAGCAAAGCTGTTGGAGAAAAGCCTAACAGAAGATGGTACTCCCCCAAAATCAGGCACTCCACCTAAATCCGGCACAAATGATGGGTCAATATCTGCATCCACTGGTCCCTCTCATGTAACCAAGGAAAAGGGTGCATCAAGTGTGGCTCCAAAACCGCTGTCTGGGCGTGATCGCTTCAAGCTGCAACAGGAATCCCTTGGTCATAAGCGGCAGGCTTTGAAGCTTCGAAGAGAAGGTAGGATTCAAGAAGCAGAAGCTGAATTTGAAATAGCCAAGTCTATTGAGGCCCAGTTGGAAGAGTTGGCAGGTAACGATTTAACAAACACTGGGGCAGGAAAAGCAGACGATGTAGTTGTCGAGGATCTTCTCGATCCTCAACTTTTGTCTGCCCTGAAAGCTATTGGATTGGAAGATTCTGGTGTCGTGGAACATAACCCTAAAAGACCACTGCCCGTAAAACCCAATGCTGCTAAAACCGACAATGTTAAGCAACATGAGAGAGTCCAGTTGGAAGAGAGGATTAAGGCAGAAAAGGTCAAGGCATTGAACTTGAAAAGGTCAGGGAAACAAGCTGAGGCTTTGGATGCACTTAGAAGGGCCAAAATGCTGGAGAAAAAGCTGAATTCCTTGTCTTGATGAACACTGAATCATACAGATTTCCATTTCCAGCTTGGAAAAAGAATGGAGGTATATAGTATTTGTGAAATAAGTTGAAGTCAAATAGCTAGAATGATTCATTTTCCATCTTAAGCTTGTATACTGAATTTCCATCGTTGATTCTTAGATGGAAAATATATTTTTGTTTGTATGTTCAATACCGTTTGTAATAAAATATTGAACATTTATGCATCTTTACTCGTGTGACGCAGAAGAAATATCTAATTTTGAAAAAAAAATGTAGATGTTATGTTGATGTTTAATCTTTATTAGTATTATTTTAAATAAAAATATATAAAACCAAATATCAGAAAATGTAAAAAGGATAAACATTGATTCTTACAGTGGACATTTCCATAACGATGTGATGTGATGGCCTTCTTTATATACACAAATTCACCTTTTTAACTTTAACACGCATGCCATCCTTAGCTTCAACATAACTCCCCCAATCATACATCATCAAATAGTAACTCAAATTTTATGCAATGATTCCGACCAATCAGTGTTCCCAACATCCATGATGTGTGGACATTAATTAAATCTTTGTCCTCACAACATTATTGTGCTTCAATTTCAAAGCTTTGCTTCCCAAATACTTAACCTTCTGTTTCCAGCTGTGGACTTCCCCGAGTTAACAGCTTCGTTGAGAAACAACTTATATTTCGAACGAGAAACTCAATTTGATTGAATCGTGTAATCAATTTGACTCGTTTTTTTTATCCCGAACATTAGATGTGCAAGAAGTTAGCAAATTCCAATACAAGGGAGAACCGTTTCAAAGGAACCACCACGGCCGTTGCAAATTTATACAAGCTATTAAGAGAACATCCACAAACCGGAGATGAAACTTCACCAGAATATACCTTCTCCGATGTTTTCAGCCATGTCTGGCCAAGTTAGGGACTGTGTTAGCCATCATAAAATGATCATACACTAAGGACAACATCTGTTGGTTATCTCGGCATTCATGGCTCCTTCCTACAAATAACAGTTATGAACATGGCAAATCCTTTCTATTTATCCTAGAAACAAATAAAGCATCCCCTTTTCTTCATACACCGCCAAGAAAAGTCTCGAGCTACGACTCTCCTGCTATGTTATAACGACACAAGAAACAGCAGACCGGTTAAGCCAGCATACTTGTTTGTCAACACCGAGACGAGGCGAAATTTGTATTCAAGTAAGCAATTACAGCATCTGTAAATGAATAAACAAGTACAAGGACATGCATTACAAGTTTATTTCAAATCCAAATGTTTACAATATGCAACACAACGCAACTAAACGAGGCTAAAGCAGAATGGGAAATTGATCGAAACGGCGAACAATCACAAACCAAAACCGGAAATGAAACTCATTATTCAATTTTCATACTGAGTGAGACATTTCATTTTCTATTTCCAAAATCTTTTGGCATGATATCAAAGAGTTCAATAGAAATACTTTAAACACAAGAAAACTATACAAATTTCTAATCTTTTTGTACAAGAAAACTATCCCCACCTTCTAAACATCCCATAAGAAAGCAGGAATCTAAACAAGAACAACTCACCTCCATTGCCAACTTTAATACATTCACTCAATCAATACCATGATTTCCTCTCAGAGTCTGAATCAAACTCCAAATGTACCGCTTAATCTTCTCATTCTCTTCCTCCACTAAGCCCATACAAATCTCCAAAACCCCTTCATTTTTTGCTTCAAAACAAGAGCTTTCACTATAATTACACAAACAATTCAAAGTAAATAACCCATATTGAACTCCCCTTGAGCTCCCATTCCTTACAACCTCGACCAAAACCTTAACACACCCATTAACTTTCTTCATCTCTTCTCTTCCTTCTTTGCATTTCACCAATAATCCCAACACTTCAATAGCCCTTTCCAGCCCTGAATCCAGTAAACCGATTAGTATCGGCACAGCACCGCAGTCGATGGCTCTTCTTCGGTTATCGGCGTATGAACAAATTGCATACAGAGCCGTTGCTGCCTCTTTCTTTTCCCTTCCTTTCCCTGCAATTAGAAGACGGACCAATCCCCGAATCGCATCCGGGTATTCACCGATTGTCGCTTTATTGACTTCAACCACAGCTAAGCTAGTTATCACCGTTGCAGCTATGGCTCTACAATCGGGTGACCCAACACTTAATATTTTGACAACCCGGTTTATCACGCCTTCCGCAGCTAGACCCACTTTGTTATCATCATCTAGGCTGAGATTAAGGAGCAAAGACAGTGCCTTTTCTTGCAAAATCGGATCATCCGAGTCGATAAACTTGAGAACAGAAGGGACTGCTCCAGACTCAGTGAGTTTACGGCGGAGTGACAAGTCACGCTTGGTGAGTCTAGCGAGATGAGTGAGCGAGTCGAGCTTGGTTCCAATAGCAGATGAAGGGGACGTCAGAGCGGAAACGAGGGTATGGAATTGAGAGCAAGGTCGCGGTTTTGAAGGGGTAGCGAGGGTATAATTGGAAATCAAGGAACGAAGGGCATGGTTAGGGATAAGACACGGGTGTTCGGGCAAAGGAAGCTTGGTAATTGGACAAGTACGGTGGCCGGAATCCAGCCACCGTTGGATTGAAGCTCGGTCGAAGGTATGACCCGATGAGAGAATAACCGGGTCGGACATTTGCTCAAGTGATATCGGGCACTTGAAATCGTCCGGGAGCTGAGTCGCCATCGAGTTGCACCAACCAAACTTCACCTCCAAAGAGAGCTTTTAAAAGAGGGTTGAGACGGAGAGAGCTTATGAAGGTAGTTGTTTATGACTGAAGGAAATGACGACAATGCCCATCCATTTGTCTTGAAATTTCGAAAAGAGGACTTCAAGGTTACGAAAGGGCATTAAAGACGTTTCACTTTCAACTTTCCGTTTTGTTAAAGTTACATGGTTTAATTATGTTTTAAATTCTAATACTATTTTGGACATTGATATTATTTTAGTTCAGTTTCTCGAATACCATAATAATTTTAATATATCCAAACAAATAATATCATTAGATGGTATTATTGTAATTAATATTTTTCATATTGATTTTTTTGGATAAATTTTAAATTTAATCCCAATCTTATTTGGAGAGGAGGGGAAAGAGGATTTTAGAGAAAAGAAGAGACGAGCTCCTACTAAGTCTAGAACGTGACCTAAACAAACATGATAAATAAAGATGAGCAATTTGATCAATCAACCAAATATGCTTACTCTCTTTTATATTAAATTAATTTTTATGCATTTTAATAAATGTATCGAGTCTCATAAATAGGAAAAAAAATAACAAGATAACTTTAAGGATATGACCTGCTTCGAGTACAATATAATTTATTTCATGTGAACTTTTAGTTGATAAAAAAGATGATGTTTTTATAATTAAAAAGATCCTACTTAATGATGGATCAATTTGGATTGTTTGTATTCATAGATATGTATTGTATGATGTTTTTTTTTTCCTCACAGTAGTGGAGATCATCGAGAGGTGGATAGGGTGTGGGTAAGCTTACTCGATTTGAGAACGAAGGCATCGGTTTCCATTTTAGATATTTGAAAGACTATTTGAATGGGGTGTCTTGAGATAGGTTGAACCCCATATCAAATAATTCATTCATTACTTGAATGGTGATTTTAGATAGACCGTCGACAAGGTGTTGCCTAATACTCTTCGATTTGAATATTGAGGATGCTTGTCTTTTATGCTTGAACAAGGGTAAGACTTGTGATAGATAGGGCATGAAAAGTAAAAGATATAAAACTGGTTAGGTTGAAGGTGTTAGGGCATGAAAAGTAAAAGATAGGGGCAGTCGAGGAGGGATAATTGCACAATTCGGAGTACGAATGTATAGGTTTGGATTGAGTTGTTCTCTTGTACAAGCATTGCATTGCAAATGACTTAAAACGTGCATTTATACCCCCCAAAAAAATTATGATGTCGTACTAAAAATGAGAAGATATAAAATTACAAAATTTTAAGTGTGCAAAATATTTAATGAAAAAACACCTCTTAGTTCATCCCTCTCGATAGGGACAAAGTCATCTGTCGAATAAAATGAGATATAACATCTCAGATGTTTTGATAAAATAGTATTTTAGGATCTTATTAGTTTAAATATTAGCCCAAATCTTAATTCTATTCTACCTATGGAATAGTAACACGTAAAAAGAAAATATTTTTTAAATAGATTATAAAATAATATATGTTCAAAATTTTCCTAATTTCATACCTGCAAATGTTGTTTAAATCTAAAACTTTTAAAAAATCACTTGGGTTGGATGGATTTAAAAAAAAAAAGGTGAACATTGGAATGATTAGAAAGTTACCATAGAGGGTTTGTTGGCGGAACATCGGGGATGGGAAGTCATCATTCTCCCAACTTTTCTCATTAATGACGACAAAAGCCTCATTTTATGATACTCTTCGTAGCTTAAAAACATTACCCCTTAGATTTATTCACTGCAAATTTAGCCATCATAGAACAATACATGTGTGTTTTTTTAAATGTCTTGCATTTACCCATTGTAAAAATAAGACTCATGATATATAAAGACGAATGGTTCATGTTGAAAAAGAGGGGTAAAAAGGCATAAGGTTGATATTTAATGAACAAGAATGTGTAAATTCAATGATGCATGGGGCTGGACCGAAATCTAAACACCAAAGTGTAATGAGTTCCATGGAAGCAGTGAAAGTCCACATTGAAATTTGATTGATTCGAAATGTTGTGCTCAATCAACGATCCTTCTGCAACCGGTGGCAATAAGACAACTACGGGTGTAAGGGTTAACAGGTCCTCCGCCTACACATGCGTAGTAAGAGCGTCCCCGTTGGTTGCAGGGGAGTGCGTTTTGCTTGAGTGCTTCATACGAAATGGCCTTTCTTTTGGTTGCAAGTTCCCGTAAATTCATCTCGGACTCCATTGAAACGTCTTCAAGCTCACGGTGTCCCTCGCTGCAAGAACTCGTGCTGCCGTTGCCACCCGAATGACAGGAGCCCCAGCTGCCTTGGTTAAATTTGCTGCATTCGGCCACCATTGCCAAGGCCAAGAGAATCATCATCATCGCTCCCGCCTTGGGCTGCATTTTCTAAGTGTTTTAAACGTGAAAATGGAATGTGGTGTGAAACAATGAGCAGCAGATGGGGGATTTTATGCAGATTTTTTGAGGATGCCCTTAATTTTCTCGGTCCTTGTGTTTCTATTTATAGAGAATTTGTTTGTTGTTTTTAGATATCTGTTCTTACTTTACTCAAATAGATGAGCAACATGTATATTTAAATCTTATTATGAGTACGTTTAATTATTCAAATTGTAATTACCAATTTTTCACCCCACGTATATGCCTGTTGCAACACCATCCCGAGCTCAGCCTGTCACCACCAACTCAACTGTAGCACCAAATCCAACACTCCAACCAACATGTAAATTTGGGTTATAAAACCCCAAAAAAATCAGTGTAAAAGGGGTTCCCTGATTTCTCCCCCCCCCCACCAAATTTTTTCTCTTCTCTTTGCAAATAAGAGGACATTTTTGTAACAGAAAGGAAAGCAAATAATTTATTTTCTCAAATGTATCTCTTCATCTTCCATTTTTCAGCAACTTTCTCTCTTTCTTGGGATTATTTTTTTCGAAATAAAAGGAGGGAAGGGAAGATAATATTTACCTTAGCCGAATAGGGCCTCGCCAGAGCAGGGTCGCTGGTCGGAGCGTGAGTGAGCCACCGTCGAAGCGTGCAGTCGATGGCCAACCGTTGAAGACCCCTTGGTCTTCTTTGGGTGAGCGGCCGCATGTGAGTGAGGGAGCAGAGTAGGGATGGGCATGGGTTGAGTTGGGTCGGATTTTTGATACACCCGACCCAACCCAAATATATATGGCTTAAAAATTCAATTTTATCCGATTCGAAATAATAAAAAAATTATTTTTATTTAATAAAAATAATAATTTAATTGAAAAAAATAATATATAGGGTATTATTGTAATTATTCTTAAATATATAAGGTAAGATTATATATATTTTTCGGATCGGGTCGGGTATTTTTCACCCTAAATCCGAATCCGATATCACACTTAAAAAAGTCCGACCCAACTAGACCTGAACTTGAATTTTTTTTAAAAATCCGACCCGATCAAATCATGTCGGATCAGAATCAATCGGGTTCAGGCGCCATGCCCATTCCTAGAGCAAAGGAGTTTGGTTTTTTTTTTCTGTTTAGTTTAGGTTTAGATGGCATATATTAGGTTAGTACTTAGGTTTTTGGATTAATTCTCCATAGGTCCCCATATTTAAGCTCATGTTTTTATTTTGGTCACTAATTTTCAGGGTCAAATCACCATTTAGGTCATCTGAACTTTGTTGTGTTTTTATATTTTAGCCATTAGGTGACTGTGTTGTTTAGTTATTATGATTTTGACATCCTATTGCATTTTATGTTTAATTTGATCATCGTTTCAGTTATGATTTATTAGCAATTACTCACTTTTCTTTTATTTATTTCAGCTTAGTCATTAATTAATTATGTTATCTTTATTTATTTATGAATTTAATGTGATAATTTAAATTTATGCATTTTAGTCACTATTTATTTCTGATTTGGTACTATATTTTATTTGGTGCATTTTGGTCCTTATATTTTAATATATGTGTATGTCTTATATTCTTATGTATTTTATGTGTATGCACCATATGTATATATTTATTTAAAATGTATTTATATTTAATAATAATTTTCAACATTTACTCTATATTATCAAGTTTCTTATTTTGAGCTTAGTATTTTATTTCTTTGTATTTTGGCCCTAATTAGTTCATTATTGTATTTGTTAATATTTATGGTTCGTGCTTCAATTTCTGGTTGACTTATATTTTGGTCCTTTGTTAGTTGTAGATATTTATTTATATTCTTCAATTTGAACATGTTTTTTTTATTTCCTGTTAATTTAGTCTTAAGATAAATGCATGACTCCAGAATTTCAATGGCAACGCAACTTCAGCTAACAATGCTAATCTCATTTCAACAATATGTATGTGTTTCCTCTTCGCTTTTCCATTCTGTTCAGACATACTTGGACATGAAATTCTTTGTTGAACACCATTTGCAAGGGACCAATCTTTAAGTGCTTGATACTCTCCACCTCCATCAGTCTGAAAAATTTTAATTTTAGAACCAAAATGAACTTCAACCATCTTATAGAAGTTTAGAAAACAATGCATCACTTCAGACTTCCTCTTAAGAAGATAAATCCAAGTATGTCGACTGTAAACATCTATGAAAGATAGATAGTATGAAAACCCATCAGCAGAAATAATTGGTGTTGGACCCCAAACATCATAAACAACCAACTGAAATGGTTTCTTATATTTAGTTAAGGAAGCAACAGTTATTGTAAAGAACCAAGATTAAGGAAGCAAGAAACAAGTTGCTTAAACTGCATCTATTTCACTTATCATACATCTCACAATCATAGAGAAGTTCATTGATACAATCGGTGAGTTCTATTGCAACTCTAGAAGCTTTAACAGTTTGTAACCAGCTCTCAACAACCTAACAGTTATTAATCACACGTGAGAAGCCAGCTAAGCAACTCATTCCAGATCATCCAAGACCACACACCAACAAATGGAGCTCAAAACAGTTTGGTGTTTAATTAGATTTCAGTCCAAGAATCGTTGGACTTGCAAATTATTGTTAATGAAAGATTGAGCATATTCTTTTATTTCCCACATCCAATTCCACCAGTCAATACGTTGAATCCATAGATACCATGAAGCTTTACCACATTTTATTTAATCATATCTTACTACGAGTGAAATAAGTTCCCTAATGTGACTTTTACTTTCTTCTGAGGGACAGATTACTGCATTAATTAGCTTGCTTTTAGGACAAACATAGATTTTTCCTATGATGTTTTTTGCTTGTTTGTTTGAAGAAGTACCATCCTTCAAGGTTGAATCATCTCCCATGCAGCAGAACTCACCTCGTCCATTCGATTCTCCCATTGCCGGTTTCGTCGGGGAGACGAATCGGAGCTTTTGTTGGTCGTTTTGTAGTTGCAGTTGATCGTCTCCTTCCTCATATCAAAAACACGGTCAACTTACGTATGTGTTCTTACAGCCGGAGATTCGAATTGCAGTGGTCGCTTTTTCGATCACGACATTGCAGACATGAAAAAAATTCTATAACAGTGATTGCAAATATCGCGATTGTGCAAATACAGTCGTGGAGGACACCGCTACTACTATTAGCGGGTGCTTATCACTATTTAAAACCCTGCTTACATCAGCTCCTATAGGTTACAACTCAAAACTTTTCAATTTCCATATAACTTTACGACTAATTTCTGGGAAAAATTAATGGGCTTTCCTTAAAACCTTTTTGTAATTTTCTACTACTTTGATTAAGAAACTTCAACCTTCCTTATGCTTTGATTCTAAATGGGAAGACTATATTTGTTGTAAAAGTCTGTTAGTTGATCCTTGGTCAAATTATGATTTTGATCCCTATACTATGAACAAGTTAGGATTTGATCTATAGGCTCAAAATTGACATAATTTGATCCTTTTATTTTTATATTTCTGATTCAAATTCTATTACGTTCAGATTCATCATGCTAAACATTGATCATTTAAGTTAAAAGTGAGGTCTTTTAAGGAAAGAAAACAACGTAAATATATATTTTGGAAGACTTATCTATTCAAATTGGTACTCGAACTTCACTTTTTGGTCTAAATTTTTCGCATGATAAATGATTTATTTGAACTCGTCTGAATCATGAATCCAAGTTTAGGTATCAATTTGAACCTAAAAGCCAAGTTTAGGTACCTAATTAGACCCCAAAAAAAGTTTTAAGTATCAAACTGCACCATGAAGCCAAGTTCAGGTACCAAAATATTATTTACCCAAAAATACATATCAACATTTTAGAGGGACTACAACGTAATTTGACCTTGACTATAGCATCAAATTCTTGGTTGTTTGAAACCTTACGTCATTATCCCTGACTAAATCAAACCATGTTTCAAAGTCAACATCATCACCGAAGTATCAACGCCAAACAAGTTGCCCAGAAAGCTTAAACTATCTGAAAATCCAAAGAAATTCAAGCACGAGAGAAACTTTCAAACTCAAAACGTAGACAACGGGTTTTGTCCTTTCTATCCAATCATCTGGGAATCTTCACGTGTTCTTCTTAGCTTCTTCCTCTGGTTAAAACGTCCATTTGAAGCCACCATGTTTGGTTCCTTAAAAGCATGGCCCGAGTCAAGTAGTTTTTCGCAAAATATATATCTCCCTAAATACTTCGAAAAGAAAAGATAACGTGCAATGGAAGACAAGGCTTCGAAGTGTGAATCTTGTCTGAGATCGTTCACTGGGTCTGGGCTTTCTTCATCTTCTTCTTCGTCGTCGAAGCAAGCAAGTGGTTTCTGCAGTAGTATAAAGAGTGGGGTTTCAAAAACTGCAAAGAACCAGAAGCTGAAGCATGCAGAAGAGTCTCTTAGGACTGTGATGTACTTGAGTTGCTGGGGACCTACCTGAGCAATCAGCATTCCATGGAGGCTCTAAACAAGATTTTAACCAAAATCAAAGCGAAAATTGTAATTCTTTCTTATAGGAGCATATACGTGAGAATATGCAGTTTCATTTTTTTTTCTTTCAAAATCATGAAAATTTTAAAATTTTATCTCTGTGTTATTTTGATGTTAAAATTGTCAGTTTTTAATATCTTCTTTGATCATGCAAGACATTAATAAATTTGTCTCATTATTTTTTTACTATTTTATAGCTTTATATTTAAAAAAAATCAAATCAACACTTTGAGAATAAAATTAGAAGATCCAAAATTTAATAAATATATTTTTCATAATTAAAATAACATAAAATAATATACAATAGCACAACGTATATAATATAAGTACAAATCCCTCACAAAAACTAATTGTCATATACATTTTCAAACTAAGACCTTTTTAAATTGATCCTTAATCTTTTAAACAATTTAATTTCATCCCCAAACTACAACTCTTATTTTAAACTAATCCTCAAACTTCTGAGCATTTCAGATTAATTCCCAAAGTATGATCATCAT